TTAATGAACTGTATTTAAAAAGCTTCTTTATTCATGATCTCCAGTCTCGGACCTAAAATCGAAATACTATAGAGTAAAGTGTATAAAATTACCTTTGGTACGTTGACAGTGAGGATGCCGTCAGATGACTTCACAGACGTGACGGTGTCGGCACTCACGAGTCCTGGGAAGCAGAAACGGCGGAAGAAACTCTTGCTGGACACGGAATCGTCTCGCTTGATCTCCAAATTGCCTTCGATTGTTAACTCATTCTCGTCCACCACTTTGACCTTGACGTCGCCTTCCTTGAAGTCTTGTACATCCACCACAATCTAAATTGAAAATTATGTAAATGTTATTTCGCACGCATGGATGCAACAACATGAGTTTATGAAACGAACGATTGTGTACAGGATAAATGAAGTTAAGTGTATTAGTACTGAATGCCATGTCACTGACCTTATAACACTGGTGGTCCTCGTTGAAGGCGACGGCTTGGTTCTCTTCCTGCAAGTTATGCTCTCGCAAGTTCCTGTACATGTCAATGTGGTCGCTCGCAAAGTCCAGTTGTCCCCACTCCTTGAGAACTTGGTCGACGGCTTGTTGGAATGTCTGTCGAGTGTCCTGGAAGAAGGAATCGCGGAAGAAAGGCCCTCTTTCGGAAATGGGAAGAAGGTGGAAGGGAGCAAGTGGCTTGGCCTCCGTCGAGTCGCTCGAAGCCTGCGTGTTCTGAGACTCCGTCGACTGAGCCTGATCCCGCACTTTCACTCGAGACGATTTTGATGTTTTTCCTTCGAAACTAACTTGTTTTGCTTCGACGTTATTTGTGATATTCTTGTGTGCATTTACAGCATCTGCAGAGTTTTTTTGCGAGGCAGTGATTTTGATAGTTTGGCCCTCCTTGTTTGTTAAGGAACTCTGGAAGAAGAATTTCATGTAAATGTAGGTTTCTTCTTTGTAAAAAAGTTTTCAGATGATGTGTAGCCTGTAAATGATCATGTTCAATTCATTTTCAAATCTTTTACTACGTACCTTCTTTGGAACAGTGACAGTAAGAACTCCATCTGCCGACATGGATGAGGACACAGTGTCTTCCCTCAAGAGATCCGGGAATGAGAATCGTCGACAGAAAGTGCTTTTCGAGACGGCGCCATCCTGTCGCTTCTCGACGCTGCCTTCTATCACCAGTTCGCTGTCGTCCACCACCTTCACCTTGATGTCGCCGTCCATGAAGTCACGCACGTCAATCACGACCTGGAAAGTCAGAGGTCATTATTGCATCTTTAATGAATTCATACATGCAAACAATATGCAACAGATGGTGATACGTATTTTTCACCGTAAGATAAATCATTACTTACCTGATGCGACGTGTTGTTTTGACTGACAGAAATAGCCTGATTCTCTTCCGTGAGGTTGAGATCTCGCATTCGTCTGTAGGAAAGAAGGTCGTCCTCGAAGGATGAGCGTGAATTCCACTGATCCAGCATGTCTCGCACGGCGGTATCGAACTGTTGGCGGAAGTTCTCGAAGAACGAGTCGTGGTGGAAATAACCCCGTGAGATGATGGGCAGCATTACCTCTCGGTCAGCCTGGTGTTCAAGGTGGGAGATGCGTTTCTGTGGCCGATCACTGTTCGTGGCTATTTTGCTTTCACTGGAAATTGCACTGTTCTGGGATGAAGACGTTTTGACTGTGTGGAAGGAACTGCTGGCTGTGAAGGTCTTGCTGCTTGCACTGCTTGAGTTCTCTTCAACGTGAGAAGAGAAGTGCTTCTGAATTGGGGCCATTTTGCTTGCTCTTTCTTTCTTTACACGAATATATTAATGATTAATGATAAGAGGAGGAACTTTGAAATTGCTGTGTTCACTGCAAGTGTTAGCGTAGAAGTAACTGGTGGGTCAGACGAATCGACACGTTTTATGTGTCCCGACTTGGAGCGACGCCCACCGCCCAAGCATACTTGATGATGTCATGGCACGTTCCTTTTTTTCTATAGTCTGTGAGAAGCTTCTGGATTGTTCTTACATTTCTAAGAATTATCGATCTGTGTGTCACAGCCACGGTGGTGATATAGTTAATATGGAATTCATAAATGCCCATGGAATACGATATTTGCCATTTTCCCCTTCCAAGATTTTCATTTGATATCTGCCATACAGCCATCGTAGGTAATCCTTTTGCCAGAAAATACTTGTATATCTGACATAGTATGTATCGCTGGTCGTTGAGTAATTATGCATTTCGGTGAGTACGACGTACGACCTCGGTCTGTGCTGCACTTTATAACATCAATGAAATGGTACTGGAGGGTCCCTGTCACGGAAATGCACCACAAACATATGAAAAAATACAAATATGTAAGCAAGACACAGATAATATCCATGTTTTTTTTCTGCGAAAATCATGATTAAGATATACAAGTCTAATTCCCTTGTGCGCAGGTGAATCATCCACGCCGAATTCCTTGCAGCCAAATATGGACGTTAAGGTTGGGTATGTTGGGTATGTAAACGACTCTCGTGAAAGCAGTGATGATCTCATTTGGTACAGGATTATGCAAAAAATATGGAACATGAACCATATAAATATGCAAATATGTATCAATACATGTACATATATATAAATGCATTTTCAGAACACGCACATGCGCGTACACATATTCACACGCATAAATAGTATATGTCGATCTCAATCGTCATGTATATGTATGTATATATATATATAAACGTGTGTATATATACATATATACATATAGTAAACACGCACACACACACACGCACACACGTTTTTTTCTCTCTGTATGTATACTTATTTATACTCTACACAGACATACACGTGTATATGTATCATATACATATACATATATATGTATATATACTTAAATATATGCATATATATATATATATACTTAAATATATGCATATATATATACACACACATATATATACATATATATATGTATATACATATATATATATATATATATATATATATATATATATATATATATATATATGTGTGTGTGTGTGTGTGTGTATGTGTGTGTGTGCATATGTTTATATACAAATATCTATATATTTATACGTATGTATGTGTATATGTATGTATGTATATGTACACATGCACATACAATCACAAACACACACAGAGACACATATATATTTATATATATGTATATATATATGTATATATATATCCATTTGTAAATCTATATATATTCGCCTATCTATCTTTTTATGTATATATACATACAAACACATATGCGTGTGGGTGTGTATGTATTTACACATTTTACTCACTTATCTCTCTATATATGTGTATGTTTACATTACTACTTATCTATCTCTCTATGTATGGAATGGCGTGGCTGTTATAGTTTTATTGTTAAGAGTTAGCGAATGTATAGCACCATTTCGACTTGAAAGTGAATAACGGAAGATAAAAGACCAAAGATTGAGAAATTTTCAAATGAATAGTATAAATAAGTTCCATCAATGCAATGACCTTTTCTCTCATCGTCGGACAGAGAAACTAACATTTCCTTAAAATTCTATCTTTCATGTCCGTTGTATATGTCAGGCGTATAATTAAAAAAAAAAAAAAAATGGTAATAAGGAAGCGGGATTCATTTTCCCCTTGATAGTAAGAAAGTTATGCTTTGCTAAATTCCGTTGATGTTGACAGACTATTGTTTTACTAGAGTTACTTTTTTGAAATCTCAAAGCAAGAAATGAACAACGCCTGTTATTATTTTTGTTTCTAAATTTCTTGTAATACTTTGGTTTAATAGACTTTGCTAAGGTATTTAAAAGATCATTCTTACAATTAAAGACAACCAAATATTTTTTATTTTTCCAATATTTGTAGCATATTTCAGAACAGTACTGAATGCCTGAGTCCCCTATACATTCGTTCATAAAATGTCAGAGAAAGATAGATGGATAGCTAGATAGAAAGAGAGAGAGAGAGAGAAAGACTGAGAAAACGAGATAGGCTTGCATACCCAAACGTATGAATAAGAGCACTTTTGCATATATCCATCTCAGTTTTTGTTGTTTTGTATACACACACACATGGGGTGGCTGTCATATTTTCATGTTTTATTGCTAACAGATAGCAAATGTGTAATTTCGTCTCGACTTGAATGTGAACAACAAGGATTGAGAAATTCTGAAATAAATAACATTAATAAATCCCATCTATGCACTAGTTTATTCTCTTATCGTCATATATATATATTATATATATATACATATATGTATATATATATGTAAATATATATACATACATATATATATTCATATATACATATATATACATACATATATATTCATATATACATATATATACATACATACACACACACACACATATATATATAGATAGATAGATATGAACACATACATATGTGTATGTGTGAGTTTGTGTTTTGGTGGGTATGTATTTTAAAGATATGAAATGTTAGAGGTTGAATAAGGCAGTGCTGGGTAAATAAATTGATTTTATTATGAAAATAGATTTATACAAAAATACAATTCACCATTGCTAGTCAGTAAAATTCTTCAAGGTTTAATTTCACAGCTGCATCAACAACATTTATAACAACTTTTATCCTTGATATATATGGAATAGTTCTAGTATATTTGATTTTTTTTTTCAACATTTCTCTCTTCTCCAATCTTAGATCTTTGGCGCAGTGATGGTGAGGACACCGTCGGAGGACATTGCTGAAGTGACAGCATTCATGTCTACTGCGCCAGGAAAAGTGAAGCGCCGACAGAAGCTCTTGCTTGACCTCAAAGTTCCGTCGTTCTTCTCCGCACGACCTTCAACCATCACCTCCTTGTTGTCCACCACCTTCACTTTGACGTCTTCCTTCATGAAGTCGTGGACGTCCAACACCACCTGTTTGGATGGAAAATATTGAACCTTACTGATTTTTCCCCTAGGGAATCATACGACTAGGTTTCTGTCTAAGAACTCGTCTGAAATATCGTTCAGATGGAATTAATGTTACTAACCGTAGATTTCATCCTACCATGAAGTCAGTTACCCACCTTAAATCCGTGTTGATCTTCTGTGGTCTTCATCGCTTGAGTCTCATCCTTGAGCTCACGTTCCCGTAGACTTCGGTAGCAGGAGAAATCGTCGTTAGCACCCCTCATTATGTCATGTCTGCTGAGGACTTCACTGACAGCCGTTTCGAAGTCTTTACGAACATCATCGAAGAAGGAATCAGAGAAGAACTGACCCTTTGAGGAGATGGGAAGGCACTGGTTGTTCACGGTGCCTTTGCTTGACTGTGTGTTGTGTGAAAGCATGGACTCACTTTCAGTGACTTTGTTATAGGCGTCGTTTTCTTGATTTTCCTCACTGACGATATTGTTCACGACGGACGATGATGATGTCGCTTCAGTCCTTTTTACACTTACATTCCGGCGTTCGGAGTGAAAGCGTTGTCTTTCTGATGTTGATTCCTTCGCGAAAGTTTGTTTTTCTTCTGTACTGTTAGAAGACTGCGAAACCTGAGATTCTGAAGCTTCAGAGGCCGTGCAGGTCTTAGATTCCGATGTTGCCTAATGAAAGGGAACTTAGTTTATTGAACTGTATTTAAAAAGCTTCTTTATTTATGATCTCCAGTCTCGGACCTAAAATCGAAATACTATAGAGTAAAGTGTATAAAATTACCTTTGGTACGTTGACAGTGAGGATGCCGTCAGATGACTTCACAGACGTGACGGTGTCGGCACTCACGAGTCCTGGGAAGCAAAAACGGCGGAAGAAACTCTTGCTGGACACGGAATCGTCTCGCTTGATCTCCAAATTGCCTTCGATTGTTAACTCATTCTCGTCCACCACTTTGACCTTGACGTCGCCTTCCTTGAAGTCTTGTACATCCACCACAATCTAATTTGAAAAGGATATAAATATCATTTCGCACGCATGGATGCAACAACATGAGTTTGCGAAACGAACGATTGTGTACAGGATAAATGAAGTCAAATGTATTAGTATTGAATGCCATGTCACTGACCTTATAACACTGGTGGTTCTCGTTGAAGGCGACGGCTTGGTTCTCTTCTTGCAAGTTGTGCTTTCGCAAGTTCCTATACATGTCTATGTGGTCGCTCGCAGAGTCCAGTTGTCCCCAGTCTTTGAGAACTTGGTCGACGGCTTGTTGGAATGTCTGTCGAGTGTCCTGGAAGAAGGAATCGCCGAAGAAAGGCCCTCTTTCGGAAATGGGAAGAAGGTGGAAGGGAGCAAGTGGCTTGGCCTCCGTCGACTCGCTCGAAGCCTGCGTGTTCTGAGACTCCGTCGACTGAGCCTGATCTTGCACTTTCACTCGAGACGATTTTGATGTTTTTCCTTCGACACTAACTTGTTTAGCTTCGACGTTATTTGTGATATTCGTGTGTGCATTTATAACATCTGCAGAGTTTTTGTGCGAGGCAGTGATTTTGATAGTTTGGCCCTCCTTGTTTGTTAAGGAACTCTGGAACAAGAATTTCATGTAAATGAAGGTTTCTTCTTTGTAAATAAGTTTTCAGATGATGTGTAGCCTGTAAATGATCATGTTCAATCCATTTTCACATCTTTTACCACGTACCTTCTTTGGAACAGTGACAGTAAGAACTCCATCTGCCGACATGGATGAGGACACAGTGTCTTCCTTCAAGAGATCCGGGAATGAGAATCGTCGACAGAAAGTGCTTTTCGAGACAGCGCCATCCTGTCGCTTCTCGACGCTGCCTTCTATCACCAGTTCACTGTCGTCCACCACCTTCACCTTGATGTCGCCGTCCATGAAGTCGCGCACGTCAATCACGACCTGGAAAGTCAGAGGTCATTATTGCATCTTTAATGAATTCATGCGTGCAAACAATATACAACAGATGGTGACACGTATTTTTCACCGTAAGATAAATCATTACTTACCTGATGCGACGTGTTGTCTTGACTGACAGAAAGAGCCTGATTCTCTTCCGTGAGGTTGAGATCTCGCATTCGTCTGTAGGAAAGAAGGTCGTCCTCGAAGGATGAGCGTGAGTTCCACAGATCCAGCATGTCTCGCACGGCGGTATCGAACTGTTGGCGGAAGTTCTCGAAGAACGAGTCGTGGTGGAAATAACCCCGTGAGATGATGGGCAGCATTACCTCTCGGTCAGCCTGGTGTTCAAGGTGGGAGATGCGTTTCTGTGGCCGATCACTGTTCGTGGCTATTTTGCTTTCACTGGAAATTGCACTGTTCTGGGATGAAGACGTTTTGACTGTGTGGAAGGAACTGCTGGCTGTGAAGGTCTTGCTGCTTGCACTGCTTGAGTTCTCTTCATCGTGAGAAGAGAAGTGCTTCTGAATTGGGGCCATTTTGCTTGTTCTTTTTTTACACGAATATATCAATAATTAATGATAAGAGGAGGAACTTTGAAATTGCTGTGTTCACTGCAAGTGTTAGCGTAGAAGTAACTGGTGGGTCAGACGAGTCGCCGCGTTTTATGTGTCCCGACTTGGAGCGACGCC